TGCAGGAGAGAAAGATAAAAGGCTCTAAGATCTGGAATTCACTGCCTAAATCATTGAAAGGTCCCGTCTGCCAATCAATTTAGAGCTATTATAAAGCACCTCATCTCTCAAACCTAACTAAACCAACATGATGCTATACCAAACATAACCAGCTCATCCAACTCTGTCCCTGTACTTCCAGTCTTCCTCAAACTACCAAAGAAAATTATTTACTCATCTTGTTGCATTATACTCATATTGTAACTAACTTGTTGTATCATCACCATCTCTTTCTATCATCCTATAAACTGAAGACTTCCAGTCAGTTTGAAACTGAAAATCACTGAATGAGTTTGAAAGTATTAATGCATACTTAAATTATTATTATTATTATTATTATTATTATTATTATTATGAGGGACTGCTAAACCCATTGGGATTATATTTACATAACCCTTTCATTGTCAAGACGCCAACTTACAAACTTGCTCTCAGTGTCGAAAAATTTTCAAAAAAAAAAAAATTATGAAATGATGGAGAATCTTTTTCTGATGGTAATGACACCAAAAGAATGAAATTTGATGGAAAACTTACGGAATTACGCTCTTGCGGAGTTTGCGGTCTCAGCAATTTATAAGCATCAGCGATTTCACCCACTTTGAGCTTTATTTTCGGCCAATTCCATTGTTCCAGTCAGCCAAACTCATAGCTATTTCACTAGAACTCCATTTGTTCTATTGACTGAGTACACAAAACTGCCCATTTACCGATTTCAACTACCCAATAAAGTGGTCACAAATTGGCAATTTGGCCTATTTCACACAAATTTCAAAAGATGCCAATTTCAAAATAGGGTCTAGAATAAACAAAGCAGACATTCCTAGCACTAAAATAACATTTTCTCTGTTCATTAGTCATGTCTCCAGGCCCCTCTTATATTACTCTTGCTTTCCATTTCAAATTTTTATTCACACAAAAAATAGAAGATTTACTGTAATGCAGACTACTGCATTATTGTAATATTCTATAAATAATGTCAACCCATTCATGACTGCATATTAGACTGGTCAGTTGAACACGTATTGGACGGTGACGTCATTTGTTTACTCTTGAACATCAGCAAAAATCGAACATTTCCGCTACTTTGAGCTCAATTTCAAGGTACAGTGGACCCTCAGTTATCAGCCATTCCAGATATTGGCCAACTCAGTTTTCACCCGCTTTTTTTGGCCGTTATTTCAGAGATTGGCCATATTGGATGCCTCCACCTGCCGCTCCGCCGCATTCATGAGTCAGTCTGGGTGTGTGTCTGGGGGATTGAGGAAGATTCCACGTATTCATCCAAACATTTTGCTATAATCCATTGTTTTTTGTGGTTACTGATTGAGTGCAACTGTGAAATAAGCCACAATGGGCCCAAAGAAAGTTCCTAGTGCCAGCCCTGTAGTAAAGAAAGTGAGAAACATGATAGAATTCAAGAAAGAACTCCAAGCAGTACAAAAGTGGAGGAGGAAGAGAGGGGAGAATGTGCCTTCTTCAGTGATTCTATGATATGTACGATACTAAAGCAGCAGGAGTCAATAAAGGCTATAGCGCCAGATAGCGATAAAGTGTAGCATTAATAGTGTAGCAAGTAAGTTAAGTGACTAAGCGACAGAAAAAGGACGACACGAAACTGACTCCTCCAATGTTGTTGGAGGTATATAGGGTCACTGAAAATATACGCCGCCCGGTGTATCTTCCACCACCCTAAACCAATGCCTGCATCTCCTCCAAGGTAGGTGTAAGTATTTCTTATTTATAAAGTGTAAATATTTCTTATTTATAAATTACGTACAGTACATTGTTTCAGTGTGAATAGTGGTGGTGGCCTTTGCTGCCGCCACCACCACCACTATATGTACAGCTTATGCTGTCAGTAGCCCTTATAAACCCAACAATAACAGCACCACCACTACGTAATGACATATTTTATTCATTCTAGATTATATATCATGTTTCTCTGTTATTAATATTGTTTATTATGTGATAGATAAATAAGCCATAGAGTTGATGATAGCATCATATTTAAGCATTTTGTCCTGTCTCCAAACAATAAACTCACCTCTCTCTCCACTCCCTGTTGTTTTGCGTATGCCAACAAGACTTCAATAAAGGTAAGAGTGATTTATATGTTCATTTACCCATTTTATAAGTCATTTTATTTAGTTCTCATTGTTTTGTGTATGTAAAAACTATAGTTAATCTTTAAAAAATTTATTTTTTATTAATATTTTTGGGTGTCTGCAATGGATTAATCATAATTACATTAATCCTCATGGGAAACATTATTTTGGTTTTTGGCCATTTCGGTTTTAGGCCGACCTTCTGAAACGGATTACATCCGATAACCGACAGTCCACTGTACTTTTCATTGTGAAACCAATCAAAATCTTCTCTATTTCTGTAATATATCTTCCATTCTATTAACCCGTAACTGGTCCAGCAGATCTACGTTCACATGCGTAATGCTCCAAAAGTAGATCTATGTTTTCTTTACATATTTTCAAATATAACAAAAATAAAAAAAGGTAGATCAAAGTTTTTTTACATGTTTTCAAATTTAAAAAAAAAAAAAGATCTACTTTTGTACGTACTATCAAATGTTGAAAAACGTATATATACGATTGGACCATTTACGGGTTAAATGAGACCAAGAAAATGAGAATACAACCATAAATATCACACAAAAATAGACCTCAGAGTCAGTGTTTTATACCAAAAACACCGTCGGAGTTTTTTTTTTCTCATTATGCAGTGCATGCTGCAGGATTTTTTTTATACTGCACACACTGGCTACACAGACCCATTCTCTCACATGTAGGTCTACCAGCTTTCTCTCGCTAGATTTGAAGCCGCTAGAATTTTGGGGTATTCATACAGCACCAACATTGGCTTGTAAGCTATATTAATACAACACCGACAGTGAAAGGGTTAAAATTGTACTATTGTTCACTTAGCTACCTCTTTTTGTACATTTAAAAACTCTTAATAACCTATATCTACTTCTTAAGTAGTGTGAAAGCAATGGTAATAGTCTGCACGAAATGAACCCCATGTTAGTGGCTTTCTTTTGTGCTTAACAATATATTATTACATGTAAACTACATAAGAACATATGAAAGAAGGAACACTGCATCAGGCCTACTGGCCCATGCAAGGCAGGTCCAAGTCAATGCCCAAACCTAGTCAGGTCAGGTAACATTCACTTAAGGAAGAAGCATGGCATCTGACCTAGTAGCACAAGCCAGTCAGGCCCAACTCACACCCACCCGCACCCAATCATATATTTATCTAACCTGTTTTTAAAATTATACAATGTTTTAGCCTCTATAACTGTACTTGGGAGTTTGTTCCATTCATCCACAATTCTGTTACCAAACCAATGCTTTTCTGTAGCCTTCCTGAATCTGAATTTTTCCAACTTAAAGCCATTGCTGCAAGTCCTGTCTAGGTTAGATATTTTTAGCATGCTATTTACATCCCCTTTATTTATTCCTGTTTTCCATTTATACACCTCAATCATATCTCCCCTAATTCTACGCCTTTCTAGAGAGTGCAGATTCAGGGCCCTCAGTCTATCCTCATAGGGAAGATTTTTGATACATGGGATCAACTTTGTCATCCTCCTTTGTACGTTTCACAGAGCATTCTGTAATATGGTGACCAAAACTGGGCAGCATAATCTAGATGAGGCCTAACCAAGGATATAAAGAGTTGAAGAACAACCTGAGGACTCCTATTATTTATGCTTCTTGATATGAAGCCAAGGATTCTGTTCACTTTATTGCGAATACTTATGCACTGTTGTCTTGCTAACCAGAACTCCCAAATCCTTTTTGCAATCAGTAATATGAAGATCAACATTATTTAGTTTATATGTGGCATGGTTATTTTCCTGTCCAATGTTTAGAACTTTGCATTTGTCTATATCAAACTTTATCTGCCACTTCTTCGACCACTGCATCAGTCTATTCAAAGCTTCCTGGAATGCTCTGATGTCCTCGCCAGAATGAACTGGATGGCCTATTTTGGTGTCATCAGCAAACTTGCTAATGTCGCTATCTATTCCCTCATCTTTGTCATTTATGCAGATTGTGAACAACAAGGGGCCCAACACTGACCCCTGTGGAACACCGCTCGTGATGCTTCCCCACTCTGATTTCTCCCCATTTATGCAAACTCTCTGCTGCCGATTTGTCAACCATGCCTCTATCCAGGAAAAAAATTTCTCCTCCTATTCCATGTGCCTTAATTTTCCTCAGTGATCTCTGGTGTGGAACTCTATCAAACGCCTTACTGAAGTCCATATACACAATATCATATTCATTACCATGATCTACCTCCTCAAATACCTTAATGAAAAAGTCAACAAATTTACAAGCCAGGAACACCCTTTTGTAAAACCATGTTGAGATTCATTGATCATTTTATGATTTTCAAGATGGCTATGAACTGCCTCGGCAATTATTGATACAATAAATTTTCCCACTATGGAGGTTAGGCTTATTGGTCTAGAGTTCGAAGGTAAGGACCTGCCACCTGCTTTGATAATAGGTATCACATTTGCCATTTTCCACTTATCTGGTACCATGCCAGTTTGTAGTGATATGTTGAAAAGATTAGCCAAAGGTTTACTAAGCTCCTCTTTACATTCATTTAGAACCCTTGCATACAGTTCATCAGGGCCTGGGGATTTGTTAGGTTTTAATATACATTACCTGTATACTGCAGTTAAAAAATAAATTATTTATATTTGTAATGTTAAACTTTGTTAACCTTTATTACTGGCTCAGTATACTCCATAGTACAGTATAAACAGTAAATTATACTCTTATTCTGTTCAAATAAAGTTCTTTTTATTACTAAACTAATTCTAGGTCCAATGTTGGACTTGTAGTCTATATTCTTTATATGATACTTGAAACTTATTGGAACTTAGAGCAGTAATGTTTAATATACTAAGTTCAAAGGTTCAATACCTTGCACTACCAATTCAATGTTTCGAGTGTCCCGACCAAATGCATTGGCAGCATGACATGTGTAGGTTGCAGAATGTGATCTTGCAGCCGAGGTAAGTGCCAACTCTGAGACCAGTCCGTCCTCGATTGATTCTTCACGCACCTCGACCCTGAGTAACACAGTTTAACACCATAAATATCTCTAAGCAATTTTTGGTAAGTACAAAACAACAGAATTATCATTAAATATAAACAGTAATATAAGTTATTAGTAACCAATGCATTATGTAAATTTACTTAATTATTTTCCAATTACTTTTAGCACATCACATAATGAAAGCTGAATATACAAGTAAAATTTATTAGAACAAAATGAGGTATCACGAATATATACACCGAAAGGTGTTTATCTCTGTATACATACACTGACAGGTGTTAATCTCTTAGTGTATATACACCAAGAGGTCTTTATCTATGTGTACACACACTGAAAGGTGTTTATCTGTGTATATACACCAAGAGGTGTTTATACGCGTCTTCATGCTGGTGAACTTCCCTTCTCTTCCTGAAATCAAACCTAATTATCTCCCAGTCCTCATATGCTGTATGGACCTTATGGGTTGAATGCTTGCCTAATAATGATAAAAGGAGGGCTCAGTGGAGAAAGAAATTAGTAAATAAACACTGCCCTTAAAGCTAAGTCAGGAAGACAAAGAAAGAGGTAGTAGTAGTAACAGCAGTAACCTTAGTATTAGTAACAGCAGTAGTAGTAACCTTAGTGGTAGTAATAGCAGTAGTAATAAACTTAGTAGTAGTAACAGCAGTAGTAATAAACTTAGTATTAGTAACAGCAGTAGTAATAAACTTGTAGTAGTAACAGCAGTAGTAGTAACCTTAGTGGTAGTAATAAACTTGGTAGTAATAACAGCAGTAGTAGTAACCTTAGTAGTAGTAACAGCAGTAGTAATAAACTTAGTAGTAGTACAGGTCCTCCATCACAAATCTGGCATCATTGGGACCTGTAGTGTGCCGGATTACTGAGTTTACCGGATTACAGAGTGGTTAGGTTAGAATACACTTAATAAAATTAACCAACTTGACTTACACAGTTCATAGAACATCGGCAAAAATCGAACATTTCCGTTACTTTGAGCTCAATTTCAAGGTACTTTTCGTCATGAAAGCAATCAAAATCATGTCTATTTCTGTAATATATCTTCCATTCTATCAAAGGAGTCCAAAAAAATGAGAATACAACCATAAAAACCATACAAAAATATACTGCAAAGAGGCAGCTAATGGCTGAAAAGTTAACTCCTTTATATTTATCATCCGTCTTTTTTATTTTTGTTGAATGTTAAGAAGCATCTTTCCATCATACATTGCCCAAGTTTCAATGAGATAGCCCAACAAACAACTGAAAGAAAAAAATATTTACCAAAAATCATGTATGGCAAGCCCAAGCCAGGTACTGGAAATAAGTCACTTTGTCTGACTTTTCTGGGTTATCATAGGTTCTCTATACATACACTGCTATGTATGATAATCTATGTAACTGTATTTGTGTATACCTGAATAAACTTATTTACTTGTAGTCTGTCAACTGAGTACAAGAAGCCGCCCATTCACTCATTTCAACTACCCAATAAGTGGTCAGAAATTGGCAATTTGGCCGATTTCACACAAATTTCAACAGATGCCAATTTCAAAATAGGGTCCAGAATAAACAATGTAGACATTCCTGGCACTAAAATAACATTTTCTCTGTTCATTAGTCACGGCTACATGCCCCTCTTATATTACTCTTGCTTACCATTTGGAATTTTTATTCACAAAAAAATAGAAGATTTACTGTAATGCAGACTGCTGCATTATTGTAATAATTGTATAAATAATGTCAAGCCATTCTTGACTCCGTACTGGAATTTGGACTGGCAGGAGGACAGGTTTTGTTTACTCTTGAGCTTCACTAAAGAATAGAACATTTTCGCTACTGTGAGCGCAATTTCAAGGTACTTTTCATCATGAAAGCAAACAAAATCATATCTATTTCTGTAATATATCTTTCATTCTATCAAATGAGACCGAAAAAATGAGAATATAACCATAACAACCATACAAAAATACACCGCTAAGCGGCCGCTAATGGCTGAAGTGAACTCCGCTATTTATGGTCTGATTTCTTTCATTTTTGGTGTACGTGAAGAAGTATCTTTCCATCATACATTGCCCAAGTTTGAATAAGATAACCCAACAAACAATTGAGAAAATAATATAATAATTAATAATAATAATAATAATAATAATAATAATAATAATAATATCTTTATTTACTACACGTACATGTACAAAGTATACAGGCCTAGCTGACATCAGTGACATACTACTGTATAGAAAGCCGCTTGTTATGCAGAATATTTCAAGAAAATTAGGCCAGTGTCCCAGGATAACACCCACACTAGTCAGCTAACACCCAGGTACCCATTTACTGATGGGTAAACATAGACAACAGGTGTAAAGAAACACGCCTAATGTTTCTACCCTGGCTGGGAATCGAATATTTACCAAAAATCATATATGGCTAACCCAAGCCAGGTACTAAAAATAAGCCACGTTGACTTTTTTTGGGTTATCCTAGGTTCTCTACACATATGCTGCTATGTGTGATAATCTATATAGAGAAAATAACTTTTTTGTTTCATGTTTATGGTGCAGTATGAGTGTATATCACAGTTAGCCCTGTGATACACTCTGTTTTCTCTAATATAAGCTCCCAAGACAGGGATAGGAGAATGGTATTGGTATACCATATCCTCTTCATACCTCTGTCGAACTGCTCGGTGTTATGCCAAATATTATTCATTCTGGAGTATTTAACATGTTTTATGTTATTTATATTGTTTATTATGTCATATTAGATCAATTGTGATAGGCAAATAAGTTGTAGTGTTGATATTAGTGTAATAATAAAGCATATTCTCCTGCTTCATGAGACTGAGCTCATGGCAACTGACAGTGGCTTCAAAGCCAACCTTATCTTTAATGGATAATGTACTGTGTAGGTGCTTTACATAATGAGAAGCATTTCTTTTATTCATTGGAACCATGGCTAGGGCTAAAAGTAAGCAGGTTAAAACAATAAATGGAGAAAAAGAAATTGGAATGGCTTATGCAGCAAGTAGCGCCACCAAACAGTACCAGCAGGTTGGTGTGGCGACCCTGGAAATTTGAAATTATGCTAGCCAAAATTAGTGCCAAATAATTGAAGGAACCAAATAACTGATTGCCAGATTTGTGATGGCGGACCTGTATAAGAGTCTTTGTTCAGCTGAGCTTACTCTGGCACTAGAGTCTTTGTTGAACTGATCTGACTCTGCTACTAGTCTTTGATGAGCTGAGCTGACTCTGTTACTACAGTCTTTGTTGAGCTGAGCCAACTCTGGTACTAGAGTCATTGTTGAGCTGAGCTGATCATCCAACATTCTGCTAACTTGTTCTTCAACCACAGCACAAGAAGGACTAGTAGTCCTTTGCTAGTTCAAGAGATTATGCTAGCATAGGCAAGCGTCAGCAAATGCTCCATTCTCTTTTAGCATTTTTAATGTTCCTTAATCATAGTTTAGTGGCTTTGAGATGGATGTGGCCACAAGTGGTTGAGGAAATATCAAAAATTTTGATAATATCCCATGTGCAACATTCTTTCAATTTTGATACCACTGGTAGTGTCATCCTGCCAAAATGTCCTATAACCTATGCCCTAAATAAAGATAAACGATTCTGGAACATGTGTAATAAGTGTTCAGCAGGCCAACTGGCTGGCTGGCTGGGTGGCTAGGTGACCGGGTGGCTGGCTGGCTGATTGACTTTGGCTCTCTCTATCTCTGTATCTATTTCTGTCTGTATCTGTTTTTCTGTATTTATTTCTGTATCTATTTCTGTCTGTATCTATTTCTGTCTGTATCTGTTTCTGTCTGTATCTACAGTGGAGCCTCTACTTGTGAGTTTAATCTGTTCCATGACCTCTGCTCGCAATTTTCCTCATTTAAATTAATTGAAATGCAATTAATCCATTTCAGTGGAATTTTGTGGTTCAATAATTTCGCTAATATCAATTCTACGGCTTATTTATCTATCTCACCACCTAATATGACATAATTAACAATATAAATAACATAGAAACCTGATATATATACTCTAAAATGAATAAAATATGTAATTCATGTAGTGGTATGGGCGGTGTTTTTGGTGGACGAGAGTTTGTCTGGAGACCAGACAAAAATACTTCTTGAATAATTTCACTAATATTATTTATACGGCTTATTTATCTATCACAGTTCATCTAATATGACATAATAAACAATATAAATAACATAGAAACCTGATATATATATATACTCTAGCCCTTTCAGGGTCTGTGCCGTAGATCTACGGCTTTACGTTGAGGGTCCAAACCGTACATCTATGCCAAAATTCTAGCGGTGTCAAATTTAGTGCAGGAAGGCTGGTAGGCCTACATCTGAGAGAGTGGGTCTGGGTGGTCAGTGTGCACACTATAGAAAAAATCTGGACCCCTGCATGGCATTGTGGGAACGCCGCCAAAGTAGCTTTGTTCGTCATGCCTGGTGGCAAGAAAGCTCTCACTCCCCACTCACTCTCCTGGCGAATTCTGACTCTCCTCTTCACAACTTAAAGTTCTAAGACTGATGGAAGTGGATCTGAAGAGGAATTCTATGGGTTTGAACCATTTGGTACCTTTATACCATATGGTACAATGGTACCATATGGTACAATGGTGCCATGTCCATACAATGGTACATATGCTACAATAGTACCATATAGTACAATGTACCATATAGTACATTGTACCATATGGTGCATTATACCATGTGGTACACTGTACCATATGGTACAGGGTACAAGGACCATAATGGAAATAAGTCTGTCTGACCTTTTTGGTTATCCTAGGTTCTCCAAGCATATGCTGCTATGTATGATAATCTATGTAACTTTATTTGTGTATACCTAAATAAACTTACGATGCCACATGTGATTGAGTAAGTTTATTCAGTTGTACACAAATACAGTTACATAGATTATCATACATAGCAGTATATGTATAAAATCCTAGGATAACCCAAAAAAGACAGGGTGACTTATTTACATAGGGATC